TGCCCCACATAGTATACACCATACATACATACATACCCACCGAATGCACAGACAGATAGCAACTAGCTGGACAGCTCGGTAACCAGACAACTGTAGAGGTGTGGGAGAAAATTCTGCAGGAACTAGGCTAGTACAATCACCAGGGTGGGTTCAGTCAGTATGGGTTTAACCTCTTCCTGCATGCCTTGCTACAAAGTGTTTGTTTCCTCTACAGGTGTATTAGGTGTTCCCGGAGGACCTTTCAGCCTTCTTCTTCCTCGCAGCAAAGACTTTGAAGAGTGAGCTCATACAAACATAACTCTTTGTTGTTGTTGGATGCAATAGAAATCCCATGATGACCTATGACACAAACGTTGGCTCCTTATAAGTACATGTGTGATGCACTTCATCATATCCATACACTATGTGTCCATGCAACAAGATGTATCGCTCATAATATTATGTGATACTGCGCAATATTAACCCAATTATACCCATTCACCATTGAATGCAAATACATCCTTAGTGTGCAGGTCTCTAAAACTAGTGATAGATCCCTCGATCCGCACAGGTTTGAGGTTCTGATGAGAATCCTGTACCCTGACCCCGTGGATTACATCACCTCAATTGGCGCCATGGACCTCCTCTGGTCCAGGTACGGTACCACACCGGGACATCGTGTCTCACCACCTAGCACGTCTCTTTTTATTACTATAAAAACTGCTTGAGGGGTGAAAAACTAGTGACGTGTTTTTAAATGTCTTTTAAGGGTTCAAACCACCACTTTCAATGTGAAGCGATAATATACATACACTCTTGAGTAATTATCTTCAAAGTTTAACATAACTCGCAGTAGGGGGGGATGGGGGAGGACGGTTTGTACTCTGATATCGACCCAAAAATGTCCGTTTCTGAGTAAATGGTTTGTTGGACTAATGCACTGTGTGGGTCCTGGGCCTGGAGGAAGTCATGGCATCTAATCCAGCCACCAATGGGACAGAAGAGAGATTTACAGTGCCTCTATCTAAACGCAGTCTGCCTGCAAGTTTTCCGCAATTTGCGTAACTTTATTCATATCGCGCACTTACACGCCATAGATTTTCACCACCCGTAAAGTGTGTCTAAGTTTGGTGGCTCTTAAGTGTCCACGAGTGGGGTGTCTTCGGGTGTTAAATTGCATGCAATAAGTTCACGTGAGGGATAGTGAAAGTGAAAGCACTGCCCTCTTTCTGCAGGCTTGAACCAGCTGGCTACATGAGCTACATCACAGAGGACCCACTGCCAGGAACCCCGACCCACAGGGTAGGCCCGGCCATTACGTAATGGGGATACGGTGGCTATTTACCTAGAATGATGCCGCCATTGAAGGTCCTCTACCAGTATGGCTTGGGAGATGCACAAGTCAACATACTAGTGAGTGTAACTACACTACTATATACTCTACTCGTATATCAGCAATTTTATCCTTTACTCTTGTGTATTTCTACGTAAACTCGAAGGCAGACTCTTTTACACTCTAACATTGAACCTTATGAACACAGTTGAATTAAAATAACGGTTGAAAATTCAGGTAACACTGATACATCCAGGCATTTTTATTGTAAATTCAATGATGATCCCCTGGTATTCATAATTAAAAAGGAGTTTAATCTACTCTCTGCTGTGTAGCAAGTAAGGCAAACTTGCTTGCACGGTGAACTTATGATCTGAACATTTCTCAGTAACTGGTTCTCTCCATTCACACGTGGATCATTAGCGGTGCACCCTAAGGCTCCACAGAGGAAGTTTACATTACGAATTCCTGCCAAATCGTACCACGCCTGAATGATCTGTCATGGCTACAGGGAGCCAGCTTCCTGGTTTCTTATTTGATTTGCCGACTGCTCAAGAATGTCCTATATATGTCTAGCCAGTTTCAGTGGGGACAGCAGGCTCTATAATACTCACGGTTGAGAGGTAGATATGTCTTAATAATGGGAGATCCTATAGTTATTGCAAGGCTCAGTAACATTAATTCTACCACCTAGAGTGAGATGGTGCACTTTGCATATTTTGTGTAGGCCAGGAAGAGCTGAATATGTGCATGCTCTTCTTAGAATGCATACTGAAAGATATGAGATCAATGGATTGATTCCGGTGTAGTCTTATCATAGTACGTAGTAGTCTCCACACTGTTTGCATGTTGGTGTGCGGCAATTCAAGAAGTTTTTGTTTAGGCCTTCAAAACAAGTATCACAGTTTGTGAAATAGCACCCGTCTTTCAAGTTGAAAAAGTCACCTCTCTTCCCCTCTCTACCTTCTCTCTCTCTCTTCTCCCATGCTGTGTCTCTCCTGCCCCAGGGTCTATATGCCATAGCCCGCTCCGCGAGAGCTGTGATGTTTGAAAGCAACGTTCGCTGCCAGTTTCTTCTCCCCGATACGGGACAAGTGGTCACGGAGAAACTGTTTGGATTTCCCCTCCTCCCCGACGACACCACCGTCACTCAGGACGTGGTTGCCGTCGGTTTCGACTGCGGAGCTCCGCCCGAACCCGCGGTAATTAATCACTTCAGGCCACACCCAATATGTACTAGCATTTCCCCATAACACATTGGAAATGTCTTTATTTCCCACTGACTGTTTGGGTAAAGGAAAGACAGTTCGACTAGCATCCTCAAAACGTCGCGAGAATAAGTTGGATGCATATTTGTGGGAAGAGATCCAATTTGTCAAGCAGCAAAATTCTCATTTCCTGCTTTTCTCTTTTTTGCGAACTAACAAGATTGCCGAAAGTTAGCAGGATTTTATCTAACTATTCGGTTTTTGTGTCGTTTGCAGGACAACATCCCGCCAAACGCGGCCACTGATACCCACGAAGGGCCTCGCCGCTCTCCGCTGGCACAGGAGCAGATGGTAAGGTCATTCTTTTCTTCCTCCGTGACTTGTTGCTCCGAGTGAGATAATCTGATTACGCTACACTAACACAGGACATTTTTCTGAGAAGTGGAGAGATAAAGAACGTGTGTGGAGGAACATGCAAATGTACCCTCTGACTCTGCACGTAGTGTTAATTGTGGTGTATTGTGTGGGTTTTAATGAAGTTATGAGTGCACTAGAGCGCTGCTGCGTGCATTTCGCTGGAATTGCGTCAGATGTTCTGCATGTCTCATGCTTGATTTGTGCTATACAAATTGAACCCAAGAACAGTAGAGTACAATATGAGGAGACACAATAAGTCTTCTCACCGATGTCTTCCACACACCCACTTCAGCGCTGGAGCTGTGTCGGACGTGTCCCTCCCTCTTCTCCCTCCTCGCACCCCCTCCCCCCCTCCCCCCACCTCCTCAACGCCACTCACCGACCTCCAAGAACACTGACACGCATACGCCCTCCAACCTGTACAAAACGATAAGGTTTCAGAGGTCAAAGTGTCTGAGAGTAGTGTGTTACTCTGACCTTTCCTGCTAACGAGGTTCTTTCTCAGCATGTCTCTGTCGGGCATGTTGTTGCGGAAGAAGAGGTAGTCGGAGCGAGAATGCCAGGTGCTGTGGTCGAATGATATCACCTGAAAATCACATGACGTGCAGCGTAACCGGTCACAAGCCCTGTGCATAATATAGCAGGAAGTTCTAGGTGGAACAAACTAAAGAGCTATGTGCAATTTTATTTGTAGGTGTGGGCCTTAAACAATTGCAAATTTTCCACATAAATGAAGGATTCCCTGAAAAAAAATTTGTTACCTTCTTGTGATAGAATCTGAGAGACCCGGTGGTGTGGATACACCAGCCACCATCACAGGGAAACACCTGCGGAGTGAAGTACGGGACGGAAGAGGCATGGGAGAATTTATCTCACCTTTCGTCTGGCGGAGAAGGAATGCTCATAGTCGACTCTATCCTCTTCCCACTCCCTCTCTTATTCCCTGGGGGAGCCCCTGGCTCTTTAATTATCTCACTGATTATCTTATCCAGGTCCTCCTCCTCCTCCTCCTCTTCCCCCGTTATGATGTCATTTTTAATGACATCGTTGCTAATTTTGACTGTCGTCGTAGGTGTTCTACAAGAGGTGGCACTAGCAGCTGCTCTCGGTTTACGGTTGCCATGGTGATGACTCGCCTTGGAGACCGTTTCCTTGGAAACGACTCTAGTAGTAGAGGGAGTGGGTGTGGTTTTTGGGGAGCAGTATTTTCGCTCCACTTCGTCCAGCAGTTCAGTAATACCATCATCAGCCATCAAAACCCCCTGTTATGGTTCTACATAACACACCTCTCAGCAAAATCTGTTTGTTTGTTTTGCTGAAGTTGGTCTCCAAAACAACACAATATTCAGTGCTTTTCGGTGTATGGGGTGGGCGTTCATTAGAATCGACCATCATAGTGTAAAGTGGTGCTCTTGCTGGGCTCAGGAAGATTTCGTGCATGAGCAGAGGGGCGTCTGGGCATCACTGGAACGCTGGATACATTCCAGAGGGTGACGTCCCATTTTTTTGTGTCAACAATAGGCGTAGGCAGAACCCGTGCGCCGCCGTCGCCGTGGCGCATCTTCCTCCGGGGTTCAACGAGGTCAGCCGCAGTCAAGATGGCCGTTTTGTTGTCGCTCTCTCTCTGCCTCCTCTTCCTCCTCCTCTCCTCCGCGGGTGGACAGAGCGGGGGTGGGAAAACCTCCAGCGAAGCTGCGAAAGATGGCGACAAACTGCCCGCCGCCGGCGACGTTACACCCGTCAACAACAGCGACGATAACGACACCCCGACGGATCCAGGGCCACCTACGAACGACACGGAGCCTACCACGGAGCCTACCACAGGCTCTGAAGAGTAAGTTTTGTATCTTGTTAGCCTCCCCTCGCCCTATCAGGACAGTGTCCGGATTACCCTCACAAAACCAGTGGGAAAAATAATGCTTTCAGAAACACTGACAGAACGAGAGAGAAAAACTGTCGCGAATTGGTTAAAACATAGAAAACAACGAAGAGAGTAAAAAAGGGCTCTACTAACAGAGAAAGGTTTGTGAAGGCAGGCTATCAAACTCTAAATCATTCGCTTCGTTGTTGGGATAGCTTTTGCTTTTGTTATCACGAATTGAGATAGAGACTTTGAGGTATGAGGATGGAATGTTGGAGTGGACTCACATCTGGTGCCTGACTGTGTGGACATAGTGTGGCACAAATTCTCAGGATTCGTGTACATACTAGTCTGTGTGAGCTCTGGTATTATCGCTCATTATCAGCATAGCTGTGTGTTTTTGCAACTATGTTACTGTACATTAGAGTGACAGTCAATATAGGGATAAGGCAAATGTGTCTGTTTCCTGGTCTCCATAAGGAAATGATGACAAATGAAGTAATTCCACGTTCTCTCTCTGTTACTAGCCACATGCAGAACACTCGCAACTAGTATTCTCCAGTAATCTACATACAGTACTCCATTTTCTGTTATTATACTAGGCACGTGCAGACCAGGTGTGTATAGTATACTACGTTTGCAGCTAGTATTCTCCAGTAATCTTTAGTAATCTTTCTCCATTACGTGTTTGGCAGTGGTTCTTTCATCATCCCTTTATGCAAGGAGTACATGCATGTTATGATGTTTTACTTGCTCGCTTTACTCTCTTGACATGTGTTTGAGAGTGTTTCTCAGTGTATTCAAGTGTCCTCCCTCTCCCTCTTCCTCCCTTCTTCTTCTTACACCTCCCTCTCTCCCTTCTTCTTACACCTCCCTCTCTCTCTCTCTCCCTTCTTCTTACACCTCCCTCTCTCCCTTCTTCTTACACCTCCCTCTCTCTCTTCTCCATCCCTCTTCCTCCAGACCCACCACAACTGAAGCACAGTCAAACGAACCTCCCTCCAAACCCTCACCTCCTCCATCCTCTCCCCCCTCCACTGACACTGAACCCACTACCACAGACACCACCCCACCCCCCACCACTGCCACCACCGAACCGACAGATGCCACTACTCAACCTCCCAGTACCACTGAACCGACAACCACTACCACAGAGTCGCCGTCCACTACGAAAAAGCCCACAACAGAAAGTCCAACGACTTTGGGAACTCCCCCGACTTCGGATTCTCCGACGACGTCATCGTCCGAGTCTCCCACGACAACAGAGAGTCCTGGGACTGACACGCCATCGACAGCTGCTCCGGAGGTCGTCGAGCCGACCTACCCTCCGGGAGAGAGGGAGACCTTTATGTCGCTCTCCATCTTCTTCATCCTCATGTTGTTGGGTGAGCTTACTAGTCCACATTGTGCTCTTTCTAGCAGTTCAACTGTATTTCTCAACAGGTGTAAGCACCATCCTGGTTCATCTGATGATAAAGTTCAAACTTCGTTTCCTGCCCGAGAGCATCGGCGTCCTCCTAATCGGTGAGCTACATACGCCCTCCTGTCCAATCCTCAAATGGGTCGACCCACTTTAACTCGGGTCTCGTCGTCCCCACAGGGTTCTTTGTGGGGCTGTTTCTGTTCATTGTGAAGAAGATTAATCCAGAGGTGGAGCTGCAGTACCAGGAACGGTTCGACCCAAACCCGTTCTTCCTCCTCCTCCTCCCTCCCATCATATTCGAATCTGGCTACTCCCTGCACAAGGTATATACACAGTAAAGAGCACGGATTTTTTGAGAGCTGCCCGCTGTGTAGAGTGGGGAACTCAACAATTTTTTGAGAGCTGCCCGCTGTGTAGAGTGGGGAACTTAACAATTTTTTGAGAGCTGCCCGCTGTGTAGAGTGGGGAACTCAACAATTTTTTGAGAGCTGCCTGCTGTGTAGAGTGGGGAACTTAACAATTTTTTGAGAGCTGCCCGCTGTGTAGAGTGGGGAACTTAAGGGCTATATAATTATATATACATGTGAAATTGTTCTTGTTGCAAAATTTCTCCCCCCTTCTCGACATTTTTTTGCAGCTATACAATAATTATAATTGTTGGTTCGCCGTGTTCTTGATGTTGTTGATGCAGTGTATAAGAAACTGATGCACACACTACGTCCACCGCAGGGCAACTTTTTCAAGAACATTGGATCCATTGTCATCTTTGCTGTGTTTGGGACCGCCATTTCTGCCATCATTGTCGGAGGAGGACTTTTTTCTCTCTCCAAGGTTAGCCAGCTGCTTCGGTCGTCTATAGCAACCATCTCTAACTCTCTCTTCTCCTTCTCTTCCCAGATTGGCGTTGTTTATGAATTGAACTTCATTCAAAGGTAGATACTGATAGCTACAGTTTAATGGCACCTCCTCTATTAGTAAGGGACACCGTTTCTTCCCCACATAAGAATTATTTCTATGAAATTACCGAATGAGGACAAATGGTAACCCACTGATTATGTCCGGATTAGAGGAATTCTAGGACCACCTTCTGCCTACACTTTCTGCTATTACTCAAAACAACATATATTCCCTCTCTCTCTCTCTTGATCTTTGTGTATGTATGTAGTTTCACGTTTGGAGCCCTGATATCGGCGGTGGATCCCGTGGCAACGCTGGCCATATTCCACGCCCTTGAGGTGAACCCTACCCTCAACATGCTCGTGTTCGGAGAAAGTGTCCTCAACGATGCCGTCGCCATCGTCATGACAAAGTCAGTTTCTCTCCCGTTTTCGCTCTCTCGCCTTTTCTCCTCTCCCCACTATCCCGCGGCTGAGTCCGTTTTTCTATGCTTTCTGCTTCTCATATGCTCCTTAGTTTCCCCTAACTTCCTATTCGTTTCCTACTTTATTATTTCCTCATTAAATGACCTCTTTGTATGTCACGAGAACAGTTTGCACCTGGGATTCATCTGCGTATAATTAGGGAGTAATCTGTTGGAATGTTACAATTTCTCCTCTTCGTGGAAGTCACTTCAGACATGTTAAATTCGTTTGCCCATGCTTGTTAGCCAAAAAGAAACATTATGCCTTTCCACTGAAGAATTAGGTATTGTGTATTATTACCCATCACACAATTATACTACTATTTTCCTCCCACTCAGAACAATAATGGAACAGGCGTCCAGCTCTCTGGACAATCCTGGACTGATTGTGGCCCACGCCTTCTGGAAATTCATTGTCATGTTCTGCGGCTCCGCCCTTCTCGGGATTGTCAGCGCTCTTGCCAGTGCACTGGTGAGTGAGCCCTTCTCTTTCTCCGCCTTCTCTCCCTTTCACTTCTTTATTGGGGACGGTGAAATACGAGGCGAGATGGGGAATGTTAAATAGAGGCAATATAGGAGCGTAGAAAGAGAGATGGGGACATGGGGGCAACGAAACAGTTTAGGCTCCCTCCCCCCTAACACACACGCCCCCCCAGTGACTGATATCCAGAACTCTGGGTATTACTGGTTGTTGTCTCATTGCAGTTTCTGAAGTACGTGAATGTTCGAGAGATCAATTCTCTGGAATTTGTGATATGGTTCATCTTTGGATTCGGACCCTACTTCATCGCCGAGGGTCTCAATTTATCAGGTGTGTGTGGCTAACCTTTGACCTCTCGCCCACTCCACCAACTCATCCCTTCTCTATTCCTCGCCCCCCCCTCGCCCCCCTCCCTCCTCCTCTTCTCCTCGTCTCCTCCAGGGATAATGGCGGTGTTGTTCAGTGGAATTGTCATGTCTCACTACACTCACTTCAACCTGTCCCCAGTCACACAGGTCACAGTCCAACAGACCATGAGAACCGTGTCGTTCATGGCAGGTTAGACCGCATGCCACTTGGGCTCTCTGGTTATGTGATATTATTATACAGTCTATAAGGGACACCTTGGAGGCATCAGAGTGTCCTGTATCATTACGTGACTATTGTTAGTATGGGGCAGAACCAACCGCCTTTGTTGAGGAGTGTCCTTGAAGGGAATGTAGCACTATATAAGGCTCTATGTGTGTCCATTTTGGTAACATTTCTCAATTGTAGCCCTCTTTTGAACATATTATAATGGGATCTGTTGTATGAGTGTGTGTGTGGAACTCTAATGTGCAGAGACTGTGGTGTTCCTGTACATTGGGATGCAAGTGTTCACAATCACAACTTCCTTCTCTATTGGACTCATTATATGGAGCTTGGTATGTGTGCTGCATGTACTGTATTGTGGTATGATGTGTGGGTGAACATATATCTCTCTTTGCTTGTTGTGGTTGTGCTTGTGGTTTCAGATTCTCATTCTCATCGGACGTGCGGCCAACATTTTCCCACTTTCGTTTCTCGTGAATCGATTCCGGGCCGTCCAGATCAGTCCTCGTATGCAGTTTGTCATGTGGTTCAGCGGTAAGCCCCTTCCTCTCCCTTATCTCTCTGTGAGGCAAACAGTTTTTGCAAGTATATCACCCTCTGTATATTAAAGGGAATGTGACATAAGGGCGAAATTTCACTAAAGGATAGAGCTTAAAAATAGGCCCCAGCGATAGTCTAAATTTAGACCTTGTATACCGCCACATTCCCTTTAACATTAGTCAGGGATTGGTAACCAATAATGGGTATTATAAAGCAGTGCAGCTGCCTCTTATAAACCATCCTCTTGTCTCTTCTCTCTCTCTCTCATCCTATCTCTCTCATCCTATATATCTCTCTCCCATTAGGCCTAAGAGGAGCAATAGCGTATGCGTTGGCACTCAACCTGCAGGAGAGTGTGGGTGACTTTGCCTCACCAGAGACCATTCGAGTTCTCGACACGGCCACTCTCATCATCGTCCTCTTCACCATAGTTGGTCTCGGGGCCTCCACCCTCCCTCTACTGAAGGTATAAATACAGTGCTTCTTTCCAAAGTTCCATTAAAGGATGGGCACAAAAACACCAAGACAAAAATGTTGAAAGGGCGTATTGTGGTATTATGTGTTCATAAAGGGGAGAGGATGAATGAAAAACAGTAAAAGGGGTGATAGGTGTTTTCATGGGGATGGGGGTCTGTTTTGTACTGAATTTAGAAGATTTCTCAACATTGACCCTTCTCTGCGGTCATCTATCTTTCTCCTCCCCCTCCCCCCAGTTCCTGAGCAAGGGATCGGCGGCGAACGAGGTGACACTGAGCAAGACGGAGGAGCAGGGGGTAGCCATCACCTACCCGGAGGAGCTGGAGGAGCAGCTGTCCTTCCATCCCCCTGCCTCAAGCAGACACCAGTGGTTCCTCTATCTGGACTACAAGTTAGTCACCCCTCCACACACTAACTTTTTAAAACAGAAAGTGCAATTGATGTCTCCCTTGTTTCCTCAGGTATTTCCGTCCGTTTCTCATCCGCCGGTTCACGAAGAGAGAGGTTCTGCACGCGCGAGTTGACATGCAGCGACGTACCAACGAGTGGTACCAGGGACTCCGTGAGGCCTCCAGCGAAGAAGACGACGAAGACGTCATTCTCGAACTGGAAACCACTTTCTCTTCCCCCCACGACCACTCTCACCTCAAGAAGACAAAGAACACTCCGTCGGTTGTCAAGTGGGGTGCCGGTGCTTCTAATAAGAGCCCACCACCTCTGCGTAGTAGTGGTGGGAAGGGGTTGTTGGGTACAAAGAGTAGCCCGACTCCTCCAGTGTGGACTGAAGTACAGCTGGAGAGTGGGAGAGAGAGCATGTCCAGTAAGTCTAGTGGTTCGAATTCTTCAAATTCAGAACTGGGGGGTTCCGTGAGGGACAGAACTACTTCGCGATCTCCACAGTCTGTGGACACTGGAGGGGGTCCGCCCTCCGGTAGCTCGTGAATTTCTCATGCAATTGTTGATGTTGGTGTATCATCTTGTTGATAGTGTGTGTTCTTGATCTTTGCACCCTGTTTTGGTTTTCACCCGGGCCCCCACGTTTTCCGGCCGCGCGAATTATGCCATACCCGGTACCCGGTACCCGGCCCTTACCCCGTACGTTCTACTGCGCATGCGTAAGAAAGCATGGCTTTCAAGTTGCGCTAGTGCGGTTTTGCATGCATGCGAATTGCTCTTCGCGGCGGTATATAATTATAATTATAGCGAATGTGATCGGTGAAGAGCGTCCACATTACTAAATGGTGAAGCTGATTTTGCAGCAGTGCAAAATAATGTCGAAGAGCGGGCGACAACGGCCTAATGATCCTGATTCACCTCGTCACTACGTCCACCTCAGCCGTCTGCCTGTCGGAGAAGACCGGAGACGCGAGTACAAGGGACACCGCTGCCTCTCGCACGAAGAGATTCCGCAGAGACTGAGGCACTCTCGGGGGGCCGTCAGTAGGTATGCGACCGTCGCAGCATCATTCGCGTTTGCAGTTTCTGCATGTGTAGTTCGAGGGCCTGTTTCTATAGCTACTGTAGTAAAATGCGTGCTGTTGTCAGTCCCCCTCCTCTCTTATGCTAAAGGAACATCAACGGATTTCTAAACTCAGGCAAGGGAGGCAAAATCTTTTTGGGGGTTCTGGATGATGGAACAGTTGCAGGTCTCAGGCTCTCAGACGCGCAGGTATCGGCCTATACGACGCAGGTATCTTTGAGCAGCCTTTGTAACTCAGTTAGCTACTAGATGTAGTTAGCAAATGCACCCATTGTGGGTTACTGTTCTTGTGCAAACTCATCAGAATACACAATGGGTGTTTTTCTAGTTAGCTCCCCAACTGAGCTATGTAGAAAGCTTGCTCAAAGAGTGTTCCTTCCTTCTCTTGTCCTGTAGAAAGACCACATTTCTATAGCTCTGGACGACCTGATGGGGAGGTACACACCGCCAGTGCCCCAGTCGAGGTACCGGCTGCTGTTTCTTCCGGTATTGAGAGAGAAGAGGGAGACGGGGAGGGAGAACGACAGCGGGGTCAGTCTGGACGGCTCAGAGGAAGAGTCATCCTCACTGCTGTCACCAGGACCTCCCTCCCACGACAGAGACCTGAGGGGACACCTCCTGCGGACAGCCAGGTGGTGCTGGTGTGACCTGGACACCCGTGATATGATACTCAGGGTATACACACCCACTTGACTATGTATACATTCCCCCAATAACAAACTATAACAAAATAGGTGTGTGTATACAAAAGATTGCTGCAGTGCTGGTCAACTGATAAGGTCGTGTGGTTAGACAATTATTGTTACATCCACAGGGAGACACTGTTCCGTACTATGTGGTTGAGATTTCCATCCTCCCGTTTGTGCGAAACGCCTCGCTCTCTCCAATGGTGTTGCAGCTGCATCCGATCTACCAGAGCGAGCGGGGGCGTTGCTATTTCCGCGGGAGCACTTCCCTCCTGGAATATTCCTACCAACAGTTTGCAGAAGTCACCATTTCTGAGGCGGAGAAACACTTTAACAAAATAGAGAAGGAGTAAGCGATTGGATTCGTTTTAGAAGGGAGAAAATTCTAAATTTGAGAGCCATCCAGAACAATTTTCTGTTAAATTTTTGGGGGGAAGGTTGTGCAGTTGGACCAGCTTCTCTCATTTCTACCAATTTGCGTTAACCCCCCCCAATGTAGAGGTTAAGAATTTTGTGGATATTATACTATTTTTCCAAAATTTATCGTATTCTTTTTTGGCAGGTTGAGAGCAGAAATGAAACTCTACATGACTAAGCTGACCCATGCACTTGCGAAGCTTGCCCTATATGAGTCATGTGATTGTCACATGGCCTAATCACCACACCCACTTGCTCACATTATAACAGGTCTACGGCCAAATGTCACCCTTTCAACACCTTTTTTTCCCATTGTCATCCTTTTTCCCTACCACCAAAATCTCATTTTTATTCGATTGCATCATCAACTCATCATCACACATCGATGCTGCTTTTGTAACACCCTCTCCGTTGATTTCAATAAATTTCAATAAATAACCACCTCAGATACATCTGACTAGTGCTGTGGGCGATACATAAAGCATGCAGTAAATTAAAGTGTGACCTCTATGAGCGTAATACATACGCAATACTGTGTCGTGCTCTCTAGCCAACCACTAGACTTGTGTCTGTTTCAAACTTGTATTTCGGCACTGCCAGATTGAGGGGGGCGGGGCCCTTTCTGATGCGGCCCGAGGTATCGTAGTGCGAGCCGTGACACGGGCAGAAGTAGCCGCCGTATTCTCCGGCGTTGGCGATGGGCACGCAGCCCAGGTGGGTACAGACACCAATGAGGATCATCCACTGGTCTCTCTGGACTCTGGCGTCGTCGGCCTGCGGGTCACGCAGAGTACTGAGGTCCACGTTCTTCGCCGCGTCGATCTCCTCGGCTGTGCGGTGCCTGACGAAGAGGGGCTTCCCCTGCCACTTTAAGACGACGTTCTTCCCCTCCGGGATGGCAGAGAGGTCCACCTCTATCGTTGCCATTGCTAGGACATCAGCTGAGGGGCTCATTGTACTCAGCAGACCCACTATTGCGTCTTTGGTTGGTACCATTCCAGCCGCCAGACCGCCTGCAAGGATTTAGAGAACTCGTTACTATACTTGTGGCATTGTGGTGCGCATCAGATAGAGAAAAGTGGACACACCTCCTAGAACCATGTAGGCCGCGGCTCTCTTCCCCAGTTCCCCTCGAGACGACGCCTCGTTGGGTTTATCCGCGTAGCTGTTTCTGTAGGCGGAGAAGTCTGGGACGGGGAGGTCGGTGTGGGCTCCGCGGGTAGTCGTGACTGCTGCTGTCGCTCCTCTGAAGGCCGCTGCTGGCACACCTCCGGCCGTCAAACTACGACATCTTTGCAAGGTCCTGACGAGAGATCTTACGTACATTCTCCCCTCTACACTCTCGCCTGTTGTTTTTCTCCCTGTGTCTCTTGCGCTGCTTCGAACTTTGTCCTTGCCGGAAATAGTGTTCTAATTGACCGAATCACGCAGAAATTTCATAGCGTAGAATTTTTCTTCGTCTTCGGTTGCCGTCGTTCTTCTATGTTGCTAGCAAATGTTCCTGCTAAAGGAAAACAAGAGATGGCTTCAAAAACTGACAGGGAGCTGCGGAAAGAGATCGCTTACCTTACAAGTAAGTAAGCAATTAGCCTCGTAAACATCTAGCTAATTTATTTCTTCCAGAGCTGATAGAAATCCACAAGAGGTCGACAGTCGCCGGGTCTCAGAACAAGTCGAGGCCGGCCGCTGGAAGCAACAGATTCAAGTGGACAGCTTCAACACAAACAACATCAACAAGGTATAATGCTGCATAGCTTGTAAGATACATCATTATTGCCTTGTGAAATTGTCTATTTTGTCATTCTATTGAAGTGGTCCAGTGTCCAAAAAAGAGGCCCCAGTTCCTAGCAGTGTTCAGACTACCAGCAATTTGAGTGTGGGACCTCGTACGACCGGTGCCTCGTCTCAGGAACTGTCCACCCTCGTCCTGCGCTCCAAACCCCTCCCCGTACACAGTAAATATCACTACGGAAACCACTATCGCCGTAGCAACCCCACTCAGAGTACCCGTCGTCCCGGCAACAAGAAGTGGAATAATCCAGCAGCGGCACCACGGGGAGATCGCGACAGACCGAGCCAACCAAAACCAGACAGAAATAGAACTGTAGTGTTGAGTCAGGCCACCTCAGTGGAGGTCAGAGAGAAACCTAAACCACCTCTACCGCCCTCCTCCTCCTCCTCCTCCTCCTCTTCTGTGATTACCTCATCTTTCTCCAAGGCCAACAGCGAGGGAACTGCAAGTGCTGCCGGAGAGACCCGTAGGAAGTGGTCTCACTGCTACAAATGGCCTCACAAACCCTCTCCCTCAAAACTCACACCAGCCAATCCCCGCATCACTGCACCTACCAAGCCGACAGTGGCCACACCTCCCAAGACAGTGGCCACACCTCCAAAGACAGCGACTGCACTGCCTCAGTCTCATGGTAACCCCGCCCCTCAGTCTAGAGTGGCGCCCACTAGCTCCAGATACAAGTGGAGAAGACGCTCCACCAGTTCAAGTGAGTATGCAACACCCCTGTATTAGCTATGTACGTACGAAGAGGGAGAGAAAACCGAGCCACCAGAACCAACGAGAGCCACTGTCAGTGGACGAACTCAGATAGAGAAAACTTTGAGAGAATAATTCTGCATTATTGTAGTTTACTCTGTGCAGTTTTTGTTTGATAGTTTGCCACTGAATAGCAAGTTTTAAGACTATACAACAGTACAACTTTCAGACAAAATTCTCTGCCATTTTCTATACAGCTATATAAACTCTTTCCAATGTATGGTGACTGTGTCTGTAGGCATGTCGTCCGGTAGAAAGAGCAAGTCCCCGGGTCTGAAATCTCCACCCGCAACTGGATCCAGAACGAAGCTTCAACACCACACTGCATCGTGGGTCATCCACAATCCTTACAAACTCGTGAGCATTTCTAGCTTTCATCTTCATTGCTATATAGCGTCCTATAATTTGTTTTTTTTTCTCCTGTTTTTCTTCCCCGCCGTGATTATTTCATTCTGTCTGTAGACGCATGCCTCTATCATCCACAAGTACAGCAGGATAATGCAGCGACAGAGAAATAGCAAAACATCAAAGTGAGATTTAAGTCATTCCGGTCCCTTTAGCTTTCATCTTCCCTCTTATCTTTTTCTCTGTAGGCTAAATCGGTTTCTGACTAAACGGACGAGTTTTCAAACTCCCCATAAGATGTCAAAGTGAGTTACCTGATGATTCATACACAAACATCCCCACTCACTCCACTACGTACAATGGTAGGTCGAAAAACAAAGTTTGGAGAGCGTCTGACCACTGTGGTGGTGGGAGCACTACCAGAACCAGTATTGGTCGGAGTGCGCCATTGAGGAGACTGTCGGGAGGACACGAGCTGAAGACGAGGCACGGGAACAGGCAGTGGGTCGCTAGAAGAGCTGCCGGGCCCACTCCAGGGAAGAGTGGAGCGAGGTACGCTGGCCCGGTTCCTTGGAGACGGCTCTCTGGACACGAGCTGAAGACGAGACAAGGGAACAGGCAGTGGGTCTCTAGAAGAGCTGCCGGCAGCTTCCCACCCACTCCAGGTAAGAGTGGAGCGAGGTACGCTGGCCCGGTTCCTTGGAGACGGCTCTCTGGACACGAGCTGAAGACGAGACAAGGGAACAGGCAGTGGGTCTCACGGAGAGTGGTGATGAGGAGGAAGACCCTTCAATCACCGGCTGCTAATGGACGCGGGAGGTGGATGACAGCTCACTACGAGGGAAGAAGGGGGAAGAGCCTCCAGTTTGTGAGCATGAGTGGACAGAAGTTTGTGGTGGACTCTGGCGGCCGTAGAATGAAGAGGCTATCTCTCTCCTCCCCCTCCTCCCCCAGACTCAGGCTTCGTTCTAGGGGGAGGAGTGTGTCAGAGAGTCACACCCCCTCTCACTCTATCAAGCAGTACCTGGCCAGGTATGTGTGTGCAATCTCATTTTTCTGCTGGCATCAATGACACCTTACACTTGGAAAAAGCCAATGTAGATGATGGTTTTGTGTATCAGTTCTAGACTCTCGGATCACATAATACTTAATAGACCTGTTATCAAAACGACTGAGGTTACATAGCATGAACGTTTTTCTATCTTCTCCAGCCGAGCAGTGCAGAGGAGTCGAGTGTATGTCTGGAGTGCCAAGCATAGAAAGAAGGACAACGCGAAGCGGTACTGCATCTTCTACAACCGGTTTGGTGAGTTCTAGAAACCAGTTTTCGTCTGGTTACAGTTTAGCCATGTATGTATCTTTACTGGGCAGGAAAATGCAACAGAGGTGACAGCTGTCCCTACATCCATGATCCTTCGAAGATTGCAGTCTGTACCAAGTAAGTTCGTGACTGCCGATCAACCATTACATAACCGACTTTTTGTACGCCGATAATCAGGTTCCTGAGAGGGATGTGTGACAAGACGGACGGCAGCTGCTTATTCTCACACACTCTCTCCAAAGACAAGGTAAGAAAGAGCTACGTATATAGTAGCTCACTGGGCCAAAAACATCGCAAACAAAGTATTATAGTGAATGCAGATTGTTAAAAATGAATCCCACCCTTATTTTACTTTTTGATACCTGCTTGCAAGAAATGTCAAACCAAGTGTCCATTAGGTGTCCTTCATTCAGAGTGTCCACTGTATCGTGTACTGCAGTTGCCGACCTGCCGTTACTTCCTGAGAGGTGTGTGCACTCGGGAAGTGTGTCCTTACCGTCATGTGAGTGTTGGGCGACGTGCAGAGGTGTGCCTCAACTTTGCCCGCGGCTACTGCCCCAATGGGGAACAGGTGAGACGATGCAGTTGAACCCCTCTCTAACTAGACACTAATGGGACAGCACCAGTGAGGTGTCCTTGTGTCAGAGTCCCGTTCTTGGGGGGGAAAAAGGTGTCCTTATTAGACAAGTTTTCTCACTTCAGGGGTGACTGTAATCGGGAAATTGCCATAATTATGGGGTTCCCACCAATTATTTATTGTCATCCTCGTTGCGATACAGTGCTCCAAGCGTCACATAGTGGACTGCCCAGAGTTCAGTGAGCAAGGCAGCTGTCCTCACGGAGACAAGTGTCTACTGAGACACAGGAAGAAGACAGAGGCTCCTCCCACCAAGACGAAAACTCTGCCCACCAAGACCCCGCTAGCATTCAGGAGGCTGCGTCGAGATAGAGTGGGTCCTCAGCCTCCTGAGTATGTGGAGTTAGACCCTGCAATTAGTCCATTGGATGATACCAATAATGGAGGAGAAGGGAGTGGTGGTGATGCATCAGATGCTGATTATCTAACATTATGCCAAGATGCACGCCGACTGAGTCCGTTGGATCCTAGCTGCCCTGGTACGTATGACATAATTCGCATGATGTAATGTTGGGTGATGCACAATTTTTATTTTGTATTATGCAGCTCCTGACTTTTTGGCTCTCTGATCTCGAAATTTGCTCTTCAGAACAGTTCCACCGTTTATAACTCTCACTCTGATTCACAGGGGCGTAGGAAAGTGTTTTGCATTGGGGGGCCACAAAATTTTAGTAAACCCTCGGCGAACTGCGCATGCGGAGCCACGCCTCCCGCCCGCGAGGCTACGTGTACGTACGTGTTTACGTGCGCATAAAAGCGGTCGCTCTGGTGGCGCGGCAGCGTTCGCCCTCTGGCATGGACGATAAGGTACGAACGAACAACAGAAAAGGGGGGCCCTGGCCCCCGTAGCCCCCCCTGTTCCTACGCCCCCCTGACTGTCTCATAACCATGCATTGCACAACGCGAACGGTTTTCTCTACCTCTGCGCATGCGTAATTATTAGCGCGCGGTGCGCGAAGTCTGGACATGCAACGGGCCGGGGGGGACGAGCCTTCTCCTCTCTCTGGCATGGAGTTATGGCGTTGGTCAGCTATCTATCTGTGGACGTGGGTGTGAGAAAACCTCTCTGTCTTCCTTCTAGATACTGTTACATGTCGGCTTACTGAGGACTCTCTAGCTGGATCGACGACACTGCGCAATAGTGACAGTGTGTTAGCCAATTTGTTGGACCACGCCTGCCCCCATTGTCCCGGTGGTGTATAAGATTTTGGCCTAAATTCAGCAGCTTACAGAGCAACACATCCTTTCTTCATGCAGGCAATCTGTAGAATGGAACCATTTTCACTGCTAATCAATACATCCATAATGTATGTCAATCTGGGTTTATGTTTTGAGTCCTGAGGCATCACCTGTGGTGCAGGAGGCATCAGTTCAGCCCCTCCCACTTGCTCCTTGAACCAGTATAGTATCTTGTAGTAAACAAACTCAACACTTCCTCTGTATATAGCAGCACAGAGAACTGAGGATCTTTGCTACACGTGCATATATCAAACATTCTCAGAACAGCGACCATGGCTTCTCACATGCCCGGGCAGCATGAAATCATATTCACGATTGCCGAGAACCCAACTATATAACCATGGTAAACTATTTGACTTTGCTCCACTAGTATGCACTTACTGTGTGTGGTTTGGCTTATTCACATTCAGGGAAGACATTACTGTGGCAGAAATGATAGTCGGAAACGACTTTCAGTTTTGCCACCATTTTCCCAGAGAGGGGTTAGCTATCACTACTGTGCCGGTTTCTCTAAACCACTGCTATACTCGGCAGGCGAGGCTGGAGTATGGTGACACTGTGATGCCAATTCTCAGTTACCTGCTCCAGTTACTGATATTCACACATGCCTCGAGACCACCACCGCAGACAGCTGGTCTGCTCTCTAGCTCCTACATAAGAAATCTCTGGTTGCCTCATTCCAGCAGAATCGGAGCTTTCTTCAGTTGGGAGAGCTTGCTAGGTAGCTGGCTCTGTTGAGTGCCTGTGAACAGAAAAAGTCAGAAAGCAAGAAATCTGGTGGTTTCAGTAGAGTAAGTAGTAGGAGCACTTTGTTGGCAGAGAACTGCTGCACTTATACAGGAGGAGGTAGATTACTGCCAGACTTATTGACCTTTTGACTCTTCTGAAGATTGTGAGTGGATTGAAATTTCAGAGCTCTCTCGCGACTATTATATAGAAAAAAGGTGATCTACATATATAGTACAACTGTGGTGGATGTATATAGCTCCTTGTTCTGTCTAACAGAAAATGAAGAATAGGTCATGTCTACTGGAGGCAGTTTGTGTAGCAATCAGTGTGTCTATCTTCACAAGCAGAGGTGAATGCAGTGTCCTCTATATACCCACCACAAAAACCAAAACCAAAACACCAAAAAACCAAACCCAACAAACCCCAAACAAAAACAAAACAAACCCCAACAACAAACAAAACCAAACCAAACCAACACCAAAAAAACCCAAAAAAAAAACCACCAAACACAACCACACAACACAAAAAAAAAACACAAACACCCCCACCAAACACCCCCCACCCAACCCCCCCACCCCCCCCCCCCACCCCCCCCCAAAAAAAAAACCCAAAAAAAAAACAAAAAAAAACCAAAAAAAACAACAAAAAAAAAAACACCAACCAACCAAACAAACCCCACCCCCCAACCCACCCCCCCCCCCACCCCCCCCACCCCCCCCCCCCCCACCCCCCCCCCAAACCCCCCCCCCCCCCACCCCCACCCCCCCCCCCCCCCCCCCCCCCCCCCCCCCCCCCCACCCCCCCCCCCCCCCCCCCCCCCCCACCCCACACCCCCACCAAACCCCCCACCCCCCCCCCCCCCCCCCCACAACCCCCCCCCCCCACCCCCACCCCCCCAAACCCCCCCCCCACCCACCCCCCCCCCCACCCCCCCCCCACCCCCCCCCCCAAACCCACACAAAAACCCCCCCCCCCCCCCCACCCCCCACCCCCCCCCACCCCCCACCCCCCCCCCCCCCACCACCCACCCCCCCCCCCCCCCCCCCCCCCCCACCCCCCCCCCCCCCCCACCCCCCCCCCACAACACCCAACACCCACCCCCCCACCCCCCCCCACACCCCCCCCCCCCCCACCCCCCCCCCCCACCCCCCCACACACCCACCCCACCAACCCACAAACCACACCCCCCACCCCACCCCCCCCCACCACCCCCACCAACACAAACACAAAACATAAAGATGTCTTGTATCTACTGATGTTGTACAATATATACCAATGCATGCTTCTCTAACCAAACCACCCACCCCAAACTCACCTGCTTGCTTCTCTATTCTAGTTGTACCTGCTTGTGGAAACAGCACCAGTGAAGGAGGAAAAGGAGAAGGGGAGAGTGGAAGGAGAGAGGGAGACATTGAATCACGGAGAGAGGTGTTCAAGTGCGATGGGAACATATCTAGTTGGCCGGAGTCAAGCTCTGCTCCTCTGAAAGGTGGGAATCAGGAGAGTGTGTCAATCATGTTTCTTGTTCCAGACAACAGTTATCTTTCCGCAATACAACGCAATACATTATTATTCTTCGCAGAAAATGTTATCTATAGTTGCAATCGTCTGAATTGTATTCATTCCACCGGTTTTAGTGAACCAATGAATAGTGTATGGTGACTAGAACTAGACCAGATAATATGGACGTACATATAATTATATCTACTATGCAGTCCCAAAAGAATGCTACAAGAGAAAGTGGCGGCAATGAATGTGAGATAGCCTGGCAGGCGACTGGTATCGTGGGTAACCGTAAAGCATGACGTCATCGTTTGGGGGCAAGACGATACTACAAAAACGAGAGAATTCCAGAAAATGTGAAGCTACTTCAGGAGCCAGCGTCACTACACTCTGAGACATGCGGCATTCTCCGCATTTGTGTATTTCAGGCGAAAAAATTAATGAATAAAGAGTAGTGAGCTGTAAATTTAGGGGAATGTGTCAGTACTGATGGTTGTGCCCAGTGCAGGAATGGGAATTTGGTTTCCATTTTTAGTAACTTATCTAAATCTAGCCCTTACGTCACACAATTGCAACTCTTGGTAGGTGTGGCTATTGTGCTTGCTTCCTGGTGGGTGTGGTCGTTGCTAAAAATAGCACCACTACAGTCCTGCAGACAATTGGTGTGCCAGAGAGTTTTTAGAAAAATACAGACTTTGCAAAGTGCTACTGTCACACCATATTCAAGTACGCTAGGTACGTCTACTTAGTGATATAGTGCATCCTTGGATAATGTGTACATACAGGCCGCAGAGTGAGCTACAATAGAATCTGCCGAGTTTTTACCATTTTGTAAAGTGCTAAGGCTACTTACGTATATACGTAGCAGTTGTGCATGTGCCATTATAGAAAGTGAGCTACATAGAAAAAGCTACCTACTTACCTAATGGACACAGAGTGTTTTTCCACACCACTTGGTGGTAAGTGAAACCAGAAAATCAGGTTGCTTGCAATTTTTGGAAGGGAGAGAAGATTTCGGCCAGTTTTGCGAAAACCATTTTTTCTGATAGAGCATGCAACTACTGTATGTAGATCATGCTGTTTTTGTGGAGCATTTTCGCTGATTAATACTCGCCCGAAAGCTGCAAATAATTGACGCGCCTCGAAGATTTGACGATGTGCATTGTTCTTGAATGTGGAGAGTATTAGACTGTTCGTTGGGCACCCGAAACAGATGTCTTGGCACGAGCATCGGTCGAGGAATTTCTGTGGTAAAGGAACACACATTTCGTTAGTTAGGGGAAGGGGGGAGGAAGGGGGGAGGGAGAAGGGGGGAGATGGGGAGGAAGAGGGGGAGGGTTGGAGTAACAGTTCGCCGTTGTTTAATTTATACATGTGCGGAAATTCTCTGTCCATTAGTGCTAGTCTAGAGCACTAACAGGTTAATGACACCAACGTAAACATAGGCATACGATGCTTGTGTTTTCTACGTGTGCTACATGGAGCATGCATGTAGAGGCCCTGGTGGAATATTGTAACGGTACACAAGCTAGCCCTAATTCGGTTGGTATTTTTTAAGTGGAGGGTGCATTTTGTTAGCTTGTTAGTTCTGTTTGTTGATTGTTTCTCAAGATGAGCCGCATGTCTGGGGACAGGCTGGATCCTGTACAGATACAAGGGGAGCCGGCTGGCTGGGCACCGACGGGGGGTCGTTTTCATGTACACGCTCTCTTGTTATCTGGTTGTATAGTACCTGTGCACACTGCTTGTAGCTTCACTGTTATAGTGTTGTTAAACTGCATGCTGCATGGATGAATCAATTCCCCCACATTCTGGGCAAAGTTTGTGCACGCAGAGTGTCATGGGTTCGAATCCCACTCACTGGTCCTAGGTGTAAATGTTGTTGTTTGACTTTGCCGGTTTTTTTTTTATTACCAAAATTGTGGAATTTTTTCCCCCATTAATCCAAAAATTTATGGTAACCACGGTACAATGTCCTCCTCCCCTGCTGTGGCTGTACGCGGGTAAGAGTTGCTGCGCTGGTCGCCAGACGGGCGATCTTGTCCCACGCCAGCCTGGAGCAGTGCGGAATGTGTTAGACACCTGCCCATCTGGAGGACCCATTGTATGTGGTCACATAGTTTGGCTCGGCTCGGCACCTACCCTCTTCAAGTGTCACGTTATTTTGCAGACTCGTTCCACGCGTTTAGTTACGTACGTACGTATGTTCATACATGCGTAGGTACGTGTAGAATATCCGTTGTGCGCGTGTGTTTTATTTGAGAGTTTGAGTTGCGATTTGTAGTGCTAATCTTGTTTGCCGAGCCCAGGGGGGTGGGGTGAGAGCAAAACACCGAGGAAGATGGGCGTCCACGACAATTAGCAACTGCGTGATTGATCCCCTCATTTGCGGGCCAGCCAGGAACGTTGGTGATGTGACCGAGGCGTGTTGGTCTTTCTAGTCTAAATAATGGCCCCTCAACCCGAGTGTGTGCCTGTACACATGTACACAATGAAGGCTGGGAAAATTTCCACTCGCTGATTGCGTGGAATGGTAAAATTGAGTTGAGATTTATTGAGGGAGGGCGGAGAGAGGTGGGAAAAGGTTGTGTCTTTTCGTTAAGCGGCTAATTATATTCATGTGTAAACTGAGCCCACGTCCCACGTACCAAATTTGCGTTGAGATGATTATGCAATTATCGTTGACTAATGGTGATGTATGCTGCCCCCCCTGCAAAAGCCCACACACACCATCACCCTGTATATACGTGTATATATGTAACGTGTGTTTACGGATGAACCAAGGACATTATAAGGAGGGGACCCTTAATTGTATGTAAATTAACAGATATTGTACAAGTACTACACAAAGTGCGTCTATGAAATGTGCGCCTGGCGTAAACCATTTCCCGTTAATATCTCGCAACAAATCGTACAAATTGGCAGAAAGTCTGAGAGAGAGTGGCTCATCTCTGGGGTGCGCGCGGCCACGGGGGCTGGGGACCATAAACACGTGGAGGAGATATATGTACGTACGACCACAGACATAGCTGCATGTTATTATGAAGAATCCTATCACGGCACAGCTGGCACCTTTTCCTGGGCTGGGCACGCTCCCTAATTAGCCGTAATTGAACAACTCGCCGACTAACTGCTCCCAATTAATGCCCCTCCTCTCTACGAGTCCGTGACGAACAACATGTGTACGTGCATACATGTACATGCCGTAATGCCTCACTACGTAGCATGGCTTACAGTGTGTAGGGAACTTAAGTATCGAGGCCCTAAGCCCTAGCCCTACCTAGGGTATGAACTTAAGTATCGAGGCCCTATACACTCTTCTGTGGTATGCGTACTACGTCCTCTGCAGTACCAAGTGGGTCTAGAAGTGGACGTGTGTATGTTGGCCTACACAATCAGTGGTGTCCACTTGTAAGTACTTGCACGTTGATTGGTAGCTTTGCAAACATTGATTTATTGCCGTGGCAATGTTTGTAAATTCCAATTTAGGGGAACTGGACGCAAATTAATTTTTCTTGTTTTTCTGCCAACTGCGCTATGCAGATGTTTGCAAGCGAAATATCACATAATCTGGGATGCCTTCAGTGGAGTAGCAGGCAAACTATGCAAGCATAAGGGCTTCACCATACATTATTGTGTGGGTTTGTGAGTTAGCGAGATGTTATGGCGTGTGGCTTTAGGCATGTATATATAGTACAGAACTACATGTACAGAACTACAAGTGGTAGACAACCGTCTATTGTACCGGTCCTTCATGGTTTGTAATGCACTTGTAAATGAAATGTACATGCTGTAAGAACGGTGTGGATTGTTTGTAAAAGTGCTGTTAATGTCCTGTAGGATTTGTTCCACCTCTTGTAAACGTGTAGCAGCCTTGGCCACAGAAAAGCCCAAAAGCCTTATAATGCTAAGTGGTCTAGTGTGACGGTTGCATCACAGCGTATACAGTGGATTTACCGCAGGCTGTCCTCATGTAGTACAGAGTACATAAGTGACTATCTGAGGTTCATTGGTGGTTGTTGAAAGGGCTTATAAGTTCCACTGTTAACATCTGCACCCCTGTTCACTCTTTTCAAAGCAAATTTGCAGCTGCTAAATTTACATACGTACATACATACAGGTATAATGTACCCGGATTTAAGCGGCGGTGGCTGCTGTCAAAGCAACAGAGTATGCAGCCTGGTCACGCCTTGCCCTGCCCGCGCTCATAGTAGCGATGTAGAAGAACAAGTTCCCCTGCCTCTTTCTCCCTATCTGCCCACCTCTTCGCCGGTCCATCTCCCTCCTGACCGCATTCCTTCTCCGCCGCTATCCTGTACCGATCTTGTAGCCATGGTAATCCCTGGAGTGTGGGCATGCACCACGCCACCTCCTCCTTGCCCGAAACGCGACTTCAAATCTATTTTTGCGGTGTTTGCTACAGCCACCTGTGTACTACAGCCTGGCCCTCATGCTCCTTTGTGCGTGTAATTTTGTAGTAAGGATGAACCGCAGCGCCAACGATTAAATCTCCAGGATAGTGTGGGACCCACCAGATTGTACGTTCCTGGCGTTCTTGGACGCAGCCAAGTCTCATCTGACACAGTCAAAACCCTCAGGTTCAGCACAGCTCCCCTACTACGGTGGTTTCCAGTCACTATGGGATGATACTACACTAAAGGGCCTTTTGCTCTCTTCTGTAGTAATTGAGCTTTTATCTTCCTTGTAGTAGACGTACTGTTACTATGCATACTTCCCCGAATGAAATATGCAATCAATCTGGTTTTGTAGTTTCTTCAGTAAGTTGCAGCGTCGTTTCATATTTATGTGTCATCTTTCATTACTTACTGTGAGTTATAAAACGTACTTTAGTAGATTCAGCGCCATTTTTATATTGATATCATCTTTACTGTGAATTATTAATTATTGAAAGAGAACAGCTGTGGTATCAGGCGTATGTATCTGAATTACGTAATCCCATTTCGAATTACACCACCAATTACCGAAGGTGCTCCTTGCTTATTGCTCAATATGTAATTACATAACTATATATTCCTCATTGCTACGCACAAGTCCATCTATTAGCTAATGAGTGACATCATAACCTGTCATCAGCTAATGAACCAATCAGCTGGCAGGCCGGGTGGAAACGAGCGATGGGGTGCCAGAAATGTGAACGCGTAACGTCATTTATTTCGTGTAGGAAAATGCTGATCCGCCCCATACCTAATCAAGGCTTATGAAGCCAGATGTTGGCATTAGGGTTAATTGATAGGACCTGGCTAGCTGCCCAGTGGTGCAGGGTAATGTGGCACTAATCCTCTTTGCCCGTCGAGTTTTTGGACACAATTCAGTAACACAGACCTAACCTATATTGCTGAGGGTTGTACAAACGAGCTTGAGCTGCCCGTTAAGGAACACGTATGTAAACTCTGGCTTTGTTCACGCTACGACGAAATCTTGTTTCGTACTTCCCCCACG